ACTTTATCCTTACAAAGATTACTGCGCTTGTAAATATTGTTACTTTTGTAAAATAATTATAAATATATATATTAAAATAATTGTTAGCATTTAGTGAATAAATAATATTAAAGTCGTTTTAAAAAAAGATTTTGCTTTATTTTGGCGATTTTTGTACACGGAAGTACGTCACAACTTAAAAGCTCTATTGTTGTGACCTTTTGCTGATTTGCATTCACATCGCGCACAATGCATTTCGGGCTTGGAATGCAACATTCAACTTAACCTTCACCAACCCAGTTTTTTTAAGCCTGGGGTGCTAACCATTCAAACCAATCCAACCGGTTGGAAATGTATTCGCTAATGTAAAGAAAAGAGCGGGAAACTTTGACATCCGTTAAATGGTACACGCGTCTACTGAAAGGACCGATAAGAGCGGGAAACTTTGACTTTCGAAAAATGGTACACGCGTCTACCGAAAAAGCCGAAAGCAGCGGGAAAATAGATTAATTAAATCGGAAGACCGGTTTTCGCAACATTTCCGATAGGACTGATACATATAATACTTGTTTTCCAACAGGAATTTCCGGTTTTTCTAGGCCAACTGTCATTTTGAATTATTTTCTTATATCAATACTCCATTTGTATGCGTATTTATGTATATTTATATATTCTAGATGTATTAGTTTGTGGACAAGATCGTCTTATCACTGGTGGATATTCTGGTAGCCTAAAGCTATGGTCAGTGGCTGGGATACCAAACATTAAGAAACAAGGCGAAAACTACAGGTATAGTTTATACCAAATGGACTACATCGACGATACGGCACCCATGATACGGCAAACAAAACCAAGATGACAGAAAATATAGATTTTCGTGTGTTTGTCTCTCTTTTATGGGTAAAGGTGATCGATGTGCCGTCTTAATTCAACTCTTCGGTTTTACTCTCTTGTGGTGAACTGTATCAATCGATGTAATTACTGTAACAAAGCTTTATTTGCCTCCCTGGACGACCCATAACGCCTTGGGATCCAAGATGGCCAACGTATCGTTGAAGTAGTTCGTTGGAAAAGTCCCTTTTTTCATTCGGTAAATACCGCTGTGTTTTATAACCCAAGACTCATCTGCACAGGCTTGGCAAACCGATGTCCAAGAATCGAACCGGAAATAAGTTGCAGACCACAGGTAGCCCAGTGTCTAGTACTAAGGGTCTTGTTTTCTGTCCTCTATATTTTTTTCAGAATGAATAGCGATAGCCTTGTTATGGAGGATGAGATGACTGTCGATGGTGCCGTGGTTTCTGCCTGTTTTGATGACATATTACAAACGGTAATGGAACTCTTTAACTTGGGCTTAATGTTTCCCCATTTCAGACCACGTATCATTCTCCTGAGAATATTATCCGAGTTTTATTCGAGTGTCTTTTCATGCACAAACATCAAACAAAGAAATAATACTCTAGGGAATGACACGTGGTCTGAAATGGGATAACATGGCCAAGCCAAAAGGGTAAATTTATCCTATCTTACTTCACTTTGCTACACTTCTATCACTTTTAGCCTGGTCATAATAAGCTTGATTTATTGAATGACCTCTATATAACCTCTATATAATCTCTAATACACCTCTTTAGGTTTTACTGGTAAAGAAAAGTATCATGCTGAAGTGAATGAAATATGGCCAGAAATAGTCCATCCCTCCTTCCTCTGCTCTGCTCTGCTCTGCTCTGCTCTGCTCTCCTCTCCTCTCCTCTCCTCTCCTCTCCTCTCCTCTTCTCTCTCTCCTTGGCTAGTCTTGGATCTGGTCGCTTTTTACCACATTCCCCCTCACCATTATCATCGACAGCTAATTTCTTACATATCCTTATGGAATATCCTACTAGGATCAATCCCCTAGAAAAAAACGATATTTGCTTTACTTTTTCTTTTATATTTTACTGTAGGGCATCGTTGGTACTACTGTGGGTACCCTGTGGTATATCAACTGGAGTGAGAGGACTAGTATCAGACTGGTCAGCGGGCATACACAACAGGTAAACCAATATCAAGTTATCAAAGTTACGCTCTGTTCTGTTGCCTTCAAAAAATTGTTTCAATTCAAGGCATTTAGGTCAACAACAGACCTCTTTACCTTGTGCGTAATGTTTTCCCATTTCAGACCACGTGTCACTCTCTTGAGAATAAAATTCTTTGTATGAGTTGTATCCACATTCATGTGTCTTATTGTGTGCAACCGTTAAACAAAGAAATGATACTCTAGGGAATGACACGTGGTCTGAAATGGGAAAACATTACGCCCAAGGTAAAGAGGGTCTATGCAGTAAAAGTGTAGAAACCCAAATGCTACGAATTTTAGCCAATAGTTTGAAGGCAATAGAGCATAACTCTGATATCAGCTATTTCTATTTTACCATGGCAAAAGGTTGTATGTAAAAAATAAATAAGTAAATAAATAAAAAAAGCACGTTACAAAAAATTTTTGGGTCCCAAAAAGATATCTCTTTTGCTGTCTATTAACGTTTTTCACGCTGTCAGCACACTTAGATCAGTTTTCGTATGACTGAAAAGTTCACGGCACGAACACGGTCATGACACGGCAAGGGATACGCCAGACCTATCACAATGCACGATAATTCACTCTCCATCCAATCAAATACCCGGAACACCCGCTTGAACACGGCTTGGACACGGTCACACCAGGTAACGACACTGCCAGACCAATCACGAAAAAAATAAGCCAATTAAAATTCTAGAAAACGGCATGGTACGGCACGCGCACAGCATTTAGCTTATCACAGTCATGCAGAAGCTGCTCTACCAACCGGCCCACTTGCTCCTTCTTAGGTGATGTCTGTGGTGTTCAGTGCCACAGATGACAAGTACTTTGCTACATGTGGCTCTGATGGTGTACTTCATTTGTGGACTACAGATAATCTAGAACATCTGCAGTTCCAGGTCCTTGGGCAGGTAAGACAGATACTAACCCTTATCTATCCCATCATGCCTTGCGCAAGAACAGTAGTTTATTTGTGTTCTAAAAAAGTCTAATCGGATATTCCACTCCATGGTGGACGGAAAGCCTAACAGGTGATTGACATTATCATCATTGAAAACCTTACCCGGTGTCTGTGAATAGAGGTCTGTATAGAAGTCATGAAGCTGTCTTTTTTATGAAGAGTGTACGCTTAATAAGGGGTTCGCTAATTAGAGGTTTCCACTGAATTCAGGTTTGTTTTGTTGTAAATGTATGGGAAGAAAATTTTGGCATCCGTCCAGCTGTCCGATTATTAAAGGGTGCCCGCTTTATAAGGGTTTGCTTAGTAGAGGTGTCCGTTGAATAGAGCTTCGTATTATTACTGTAAATCTATGGAAAGAAAATTTTGGCACCCGTGCAGCTTTCTTTTGATTGGCTGTTCGCTTAATAGAAAAGTGCGATTAACAAAAGTGTCACTGTACCCGTATTTATTTATAGAGCTGTAACTGCATAGATTTTTGTCCGGTGCCGCAAATAATTTCAACTGATACGAAGTTTAACGTGTTACTGTACTCATTGCCATTGTATCCGTTTTTTATAGAGCTGTAATTGCATAGCTTTTTGTCCGGTGCCGCAAATAATTTCTTCTGATACAAAGTTTAACGTGTTACTGTACTCATTGTCATTGTATCCGTTTTTATAGAGCTGTAACTGCATAACTCCTTGTTCGGTCCGCAAATAATTTCTACAGATACAAAGTTTAACGTGTTACTGTACTTATTGTCATTGTATCAATGTTTTTATAGAGCTGTAACTGCATAGCTTTTTGTCCGGTGCCGCAAATAACAGCCACAACCAGCATCATCAACCAAGGCCAGACTGTAGCCACAGTACACCCACAGTCCACCCCTGACAAGCGTGATTTGATCAACCAAACACATTGCGTGGCTGGGTATAGTGATGGAACTGTCAGGATGTTTGATCTGGGTCGTGTAGAGATGATAATGAAGATGCAGCCACATGCTGCTTCTGTTGATCATATAGCATTCTCTCCTGATGGTAAGTATAGGCCCTTTGCAGCTAAGCAATCACGTGCTGATTAATTCACTGAGAGCAAATGAATGAACATTTTGATTCCCATGGGTGAAATTTACTGGAGAGCAAACAAATTTTCTGCACTGGCTACACATCGTTTCATTCAGTTCTTTACAAGTATCTAAAAAGAACCACCAATTTAATATAAAACATAAATTTTGCCCTCCAGTACAGACACGTGACCGTTAACTGCAAAGGGTCTATTCAGTTCTTGATATTTGACCCTTATAGAAGCTCTGCACCATTCCGTGCCGGCGCCCATAATACATCTTGGACTGCCGGTGATTAGATGGCAGAACAATAAAATCCATTTGCTCTTGGAAATTGAATTCTTTCTCATGTAAAACGATTGTATTGTTTCTGCCATCTAACGTGGCTGCTGCCACGTGATGGTGCAAAGCCTCTATAAACGCTCCTAATCTTTCTAACACTGTTAAGACGCAGACTCAGTGCAACATTACGCGCAATTTTGCATGCAGTGTTGCTGAAACCGGATCGTTTTCGACATCAGTAACATTGCGTGCAGCAAATTGCGTCGTGTGACATGGCTCGCAACACTGCGAGCAATGTTGCACCGTGTGGCCGTAACTTAGCTATGTCTTTGCGTAGTGAATTTCGGAGGATTTGGTAAGAACACTGAAAGGAAGCTCAATAATCTTATTCTTTGTTTGTTTGTTTTTGGTAGGTCGTGTAATACTCAGTGGTGCAAGTGATGGTATCATAGCAATAAGCAACCCATCTACTGGATTAACTGTACGATTACTAAATGATCATAAGGGTGCTCCTATCACTGATCTACATTCAACACTAAGGGTAAGGTCTAGAATACAAGTATACATTACCTTAACTCACCTTAACTAATCTCATCTCATCTTATCTCACTTTACCTCACCTCACCTCGCCCTACCTCATTAAAGCTTACTTGCCTTTCCTCAACTCATCTCACCTCACCTACCCATCTTATCTACCTTAACTCACCCCCTCGACTAATCTAATCTCATCTTATCTCACCTCACCTCACCTCACCTCACCTCACCTCATCTCACCCCACCTCATCTAACCTTACTTTCTTTGCTTTGCCTCAACTAAACTCATCTCAACTTTTCTCACCTTATCTACTTCACCTCAACTCCCTCCAACTTACTTCACCTGCCTTGCCTTGCCCTGCCTTGCCTTGCCCTGCCTTGCCTTGCCCTGCCTTGCCTTGCCTTGCCCTGCCCTGCCCTGCCTCACCTCACCTCTACTTGCCTTGCTCTTTCTTACATTATCTTATCGAGACTCGTGTTTTCGTAGGACCAACAGTATAGTTTTAGTGGTCCAATGTTGTGGATGGCCGCCAGTAAAGACAGTCGTGTTAGCATTTGGAGTGCCAAATGGTCTCAAGATTTCTGTGAACTGGTTGACTGGCTGTCATTCCCGACGCCTTCCATCGCACCAGACGGGAAGGCTCTCCGACGGGGAGACCCTGTAAGTAAAGTACCTCGCATTGCCATGAGAATATAATAGGCATTTGTGGGTCATAAGCAATTCCAAAATATTCGACGAAGTAATTGCCTATTTCACTATGACTACACTGCTTGTTTATGTGGGGGATAGAATCGCCAAATCCAATAGAAAATTCAACAAAATTAGCTCCTTAGCGAAACAGTTTAATCTAAAATGGCCTGGTTTTCAGATATAATATGTGTTAATATGTTCCAAAAAATTTTGTGAACCTTTGCTGGCTATTCTACTTCTCTGCGTGGATTGATGCGGGTTTTAGAACAATTTTCGGTGAATTTGCGTTGATTTGACCCCCTCCGACGACCATGATCCTTTGTATTTAAACAATAGATTGTTTTGATGTGACGTCATAGTGAAATAGGGCAATTAGCCATTCCGAATTTGAGAAAAAACCTGTGTTGAGTTAGCTTTGCAATGTATTGTGGGAATGTTTTAGTGGGCGAAATAGACGCCATCTTGAAAATATGTCCCCTAAACAGTCCCACAATGCACTGCGATGCGCAACTCGATGCAGTTTTTTCCTCGACCTCGAAATGACTAATTCCAAGCAATAGTTTTGAACTGCGCAAAGCAGTCGTCTCAGCCTTAAGTCGTATGGCTGACCTGGATCTTGCTATCATTCAAGATTTTTTAAAAACTTGTCGGAAAACGTCCAAGCTAAGTTTTATCTAAACTAGAAGCTCAGAGCGTTCACTCGTGCCTCCAAAAAATTGTTTACGGGCCCTGGTGTATTTCGCGAGTCTTTGATTTTAAGAGGTCAGCGGCAAAGCTATTTGGCGATATTCGACGGCAGAACTAGAATAGACCATTTAATACCGACCTCGTGCATTTCACAGGAAGCCCGAGAAATAAAGACAATTTCAAAGGATGTTCCAATATTCTCCATGGTTGTGATTTTTATCGTTTTAATCTCTTCTTTTGCCATTTATGGTGAAAATCCTCTAGAAGAGCGCACAAAAAACCTAGTTGAAAAACCTGATTTATGAATTCAATTTGTTCCAGGCGCAGTATGACAGATTGCCGCCCAGTCTGATTCGCTTCTCTCCTTCTGATCCAGACATCGTTATATTCACTGGATACGCAATGCAAAGAGCCGTGCAGTTCTACAGCTTATCTCAGAGAAAGGTATGGCTTGGTATCAATCAGCTGAATGTATCTGATAAATCTCTTTTCCAGCTTGCAATGGCAGGCGCGCAAACACTGCCAATCATGTGCTATCAACCAGAAAGTATTCTATTGCTTGGTATCATTCAGCTGAAAGAATCTCCTGAATCTCATTATCAGCCTACGATGACAGGCAAACACTGCCCGTCATGTGCTATCAACCAGAGAGTATTCTATTGCTAGGTATCAATCAGCTGAAAGAATCTCCTGAATCTCATTACCAGCCTACAATGACAGGCAAAGACTGTCCTCCATGCTCAATCATCACATAAAAACTTGCCATTCACCCGGTAAATATTTCAAACAAGACCGGAAATGACGTCTAGTGAAAGCAGACCTTATGTACTCTGTTCACACTTTGCCAACATTCTATTATACAAACTGATTGGTTTGTTTTAGGTTGTCCGCACAGCTGCACTGACGCAGTGGGCCACATCGATGGACATATCTCCAAAGGGTAACCTGATAGCACTTGGAACACAAGGTACTGTGCCTTGATGTTATTGGGTTGATTTGGTAGAAGTGGAGACGATACGCAGATTGTTAACCGTACATGCTGTAGGCATACGTACCCTACTTACATTATAAGATAATTCAAATAAAACGCGCGCTCTGATTGGCCAATTACGGTTGTATATTGCTGGTTTTCACGGCGGCCATGTTGGAGGAACTTAACGAAAGAATTGTTAATGAGTTCTTTTGTTATATCCTCCAACATGGCAGCCGTGTCTTTTGTTATTGAATTCTCTTGGGAATGGTTGAAAACCATCAATAACTCACCATTTACCGGGAGGGCAAGAAGAAAGAAGAAAACGCATGGATTTAAAAAAAGAAGAATGCCTGACGCGTGTGCATAAGATAAGGATGTTCGCCGGCATTGTTCGCGCGCATCCTTTCTACGCAAGCCAACGCAAGCGCAAGCGCAAGACTACACAACAAAAGCAAAGTCTTCTGTTTTCTTTCGCTTGCGTCGCTTCTTTTCACATTAAAAACATGGAGCTGCGTCTGCTTGTGTAGCTAGTTAGAACAAGACTAAATAAGTGAAAATTGGATATTGGTGAAGATGCTGGCCATGGCTCCCCCTTCTCTATCTGAGGTTTATAACGCACAACGAAGGCTGTGTGTGCTTATTTTGTTTGTTGTTGTTTTTCTTCTTTGTGCAGAGCGTCTGGTACAGTTGATGGATTACGATGAAGGAAGATTCCAGGATTTTATAGGCCATTGTGATAGTGTCAGCAGAGTGTGCTTCTCCCCATCTGGCAAGCTTCTGTACACAGCCAGTAATATGGCTGTACTAGCATGGAATGTGCTAGTCTAGAAGACAACACATAGATTCTGGTTATAAAGGAGTAAAGGATTTTATAGGCCATTGTGATAGTGTCAGCAGAGTGTGCTTCTCCCCATCTGGCAAGCTTCTGTACACAGCCAGTAATATGGCTGTACTTGCATGGAATGTGTTAGTCTAGAAGACAGCGGTAATTTGGAACTCGAAAAGGGTCTATTCCGAAGATGAGGAAAACGCTGGGTCGAGTTGGCATTGCAGTGCTTTTTGGGGTTGTTCTAGAGGAAAAAGCCGCCATATTGGAAATATGTCCAGTAAAACAGTCCCAGAATGCACTGCAAAGTTAACTCGTTCCAGTTTTTTCCTCGACCTCAGGATGGCTAATAAGGATAATCGCATACTTTTCTCAACATGGCTGCTCAGACGTCACGGCATTGAACTCGGGTGATGTAAGCCGCCACACACAGCTTTGTAAAAAAAGATTCTTGTAATAAAGATAGTTTATATATTTTAATTGTGTGTATGTGTATTTGCTTGTTTGTTTCCAACTCAACGGAAAACAATAAAAAAAGCATCTAATTCTTCAGTTTTTTTTTCTGCTTAAGGGGGGCTTCAGCCCCCTTTTGCTCCCCCTCCCCCCTCCCCCCCGATCCGCCCTTGTTAAAGGGAAACCCTCCAAAAAGACGCAAAGACGCTACAGTTGAAGGTATATGTAAAAAATATTTTTATTTCGTTTCGTTTCGTTCCGCAAAGTAACGTAAAGCTCGCATAACTCTAGTCTTAATCTCGTTTTTGCTCCAAATTTCAGTTTTGAAATCAGCAGTCTCTGATCGCCGGGGCAGCCACTTAGTCTGCGTTGCAGGCGAACAACCGCAGATTGCCGGCAACAGCAGGCTAGGCATCCATTTTGTTTCGATGGTCATCTGAACACAGGAAGCCCAAGCTTGGTTTCTGTGGTGTGTTATGGGGATTCTTCCAAAAATTTCAATAAAATCATTGAAACGTGAAATGAAGCCTCGAAATTTTACCCGATCATTGAGAAATAGCACTTCTTTCGCTCTGTGGTTATTTTTTTGAATCCCTTTTTTTATTGGTGGGGGAAAAAATCCTTAAAACGGGCTAAATTAAAAAAATAACCACGCAGAGCCAAGGAAGTGCTATTTCTCAATGATCGGGTAAAATTTCGAGGCTTTATTTCACGTTTCAATGATTTTATTGAAATTTTTGATGAATCTCCATACATTTCCTTATAACAGGATACCACAGAAACCAAGCTTTGGCTACCTGTGTGAAAAGCAGCCATTTTTAAGATATTTAAAATTTTTAAATTTAAGATCACGTGATACAAATCTCCAGAAAACGATTATTCAGCGTTATTGTCAAAGTGTTGTCGTTGAGTTCTCCTTGCTTTTCTCGCTCCAAGTAAATAAAATATTTCACTCCAGCTGTAATACCGATCAGGTAAGTGGATTTTAATAAATCTGTATCGAGAAAAGTAAGGTTTAATGATGGAAGAAGATCTACAAGAAAAATGCTTCGATCAAATATGAACGATTGCGAAGCTCTTGACAAACTGACTTAATATTCGCCACAAACAATTATTCTAGTAACCCCAGTGATTATAGATTGTAGATCTTTGTACAGCTAATATCTGCTGCCGGATCTGCCAGAAAATGACGAAATTATAGTACGAAACGTATTAACGAAGACAAGAAAGTGCAAGCCCAAAAATGCAGATTTTAAAACTACAGCCTGAGAAATTGCAGACTGCGAAAATTGCTTACTATCAATCACATGACTTTTTGTGGTTGACTTAGGGGCAACTAGTGGATGCTAAGTCAAAAAATACGTCAAAATAAGTCCTCAAACTATTGTATTTGACTATTTCTACGACTTGAAACCAAAAAACAAGAGATCAAAACAATCTCAGCTATTTCTGGAAGTGACGTCTATTGATACCAACTTATACAGACTGGGAAAATGCAGATTGCGAAATAAGGGAAAATGTAATATTTTTTCTTCTTTTTTCCCTTTTAGATCTTGTTTTAAACCTTGATGGATAATGGGAAGTGGAGAAGAAAGGTGGGTGTGCACAAAACTCAAGTTCTGAATTCCAATTCGATCTGGTTGTTTACAGTCTCCCCCACACCCGCTTTCTCCCCTGAGTAGCTGCTGCTTACCCGAGCACAACATTCCTTTCCTATTGTTGGTGTTCAACCGATCAGATAAGTGTCATTGTGTTTCAAGAACCAATCAAAATGTTTCGAATTTGACAGCTTGAAAACATTCGGGAGACAAATAATTCTAAGACGCATTTGAGTGGAAATTGGAGAAAATCTTTGGGAAATTAAAATTGAATTCGTTCTTGTTAAATGCTTAATGCCCAAAAAAAAAATTATTGGAGACGGAACTAAGTGTTTTCTTTGTTCATAAAGAAAGAAAAGATTTATATTTTTATAAGTTTAGCTATCGACATTGTTTAATCGACCGATAGTGAATTCGAGTTTGTACTTGCTATCGAGCTCGTACCAAAATATTAGAAGCAAAAAGAAACTGGAAAACTTTTTTAAAAAGCGTAATTTAGACTCATGGAAGTTAAACGAGACGACTCAAGATTTAAGAGATTGAATTCGAATATAAAGTCTGACAGTATTTTTAATAAACGAAGAAGATGAGCCGCGCAGATCACTTATTTTAAGCAACGAATGCAGTGTAAAACTAAAGAAAATCGCAAAAAGGCTAGATAACTTTTAAATCTGACACTGTCACACACTCTTGACTTCCACGGGTATTCATTGTAAACTTCTGGGTATCGCTCACAGTTCTGATATTTACTTCGCGTATACTGCGAGGATTAGCTCAAATTTGATACTGTTAGAAAAGTTGTTTTGTTTTGTGTTGTTCACACTGTTAGAAAAGTCATGAAAAGTGAACACGAATCGTTAGCTAAAGCGTTATCTTATGGCCAATCTTCTAACGTCGCGTTAGCAGTTTATATGAAATGTCAAGAACTTTGAACTTCTGTTATTCAAAAAGTCCTCGAGCTTGTCTCGAAAGAAATTACTGGGCTATGCTCTAGAGCACCAATGTTTTATTCCTTTGAGCGATTTCCCATATCCAGTAGGCAGATTTTCAAAGAAATCTTGTTTTCCTTGTAAAATCTTTTGTATAGAGTCTTTCTGATGATCATTAAACTACTTGATGCGAAATTTCTCAGCTGCTACCTCGAAGCCTTCCTCCGTGATTGGTTAATTCATAGGAAAGGAATGTTGTGCTCAGGTAAGCAGCTGCTACTCAGGGGAGAAAGCGTTGCGTGACGACACTGAAAGCGGCTGTGGGGGAGACTAGGTTGTTTAGGGATTTAGTCAAACCTTTGGTTCAGTAGACTCACAGGAGACCAAGCAATCACTTCTTGCATTATTGATTTATTTATTTACTTGAAACAAGACATCTATAAGAAAGAGTTAAATCAACTTCTGAATTTTGATAATAAAATTTATTTTCAAATTTGGTGTTTTGCAGGGATAACTACTTCAGCTTGACTCTTCTGTTGTTCCGTGTTGGGAACCAAACGTTACGAGAGTATTTCAAGACACAGTGGCCAATAGTTTACCAGCGTGTTAGACCTGGTACAGTACCACCCCCTTGGAATGACACACCACATGATGCAGCAAAAATAAACAAAATAGAACAGAGGCTGACATTCAACAGCATAGATGAAGAAACAAAGTTTAAATCAGGAAACACAAACGACTGGGACTTTTCACTTCTCACCTCAGTGCTGCGATATTCATCTTTGCAATTCGTGCTGTCTTCCAGTCCTGAAAGTAAAGCATTAGATGATCTTAAAGCAATGCGTAACAGACTTATAGAACATGCTACTGATGCAGCAATACCTAATGCGGTATTTAATACAGCATGGACAGACACCTGTGATGCATTATCATTGTTCAATGCATCTGCTATAGACTTCAAGTGTGTACAAGATGGTATGTACATGTAGTCATCAGTTGTGCTGTATTATAGATATGAATATGAATATGTTTGATATAAATATAAATGTAAATATATAGCAGTTTTGTTAATGTGACATGATTGCTTGATGAGAGTATCTAAACACTATTAGAAAACTCATTAATAATTCATGAAGGAAACACAATAGGAATCAGACCATGAAGGAGGTTTTATATCTCATATAGATTCGTCTTCATTTGCTTAAACTTTAACTTGGATTTTCTCTATCAAACTTGGTTCATTTTGTAAAGAATTCTGTACAATATGAGAACATGCATCATGAGTTTTCTAAGCCGTTTAATAAACTCGCAGATCGTGTTTTATCGGGTCTAAAACCACTCGGCTGTGCCTCGTGTTTTATACCAGACTCCTGCTCATTTATTAAACATTACAAAGTGGCATTATGATAACGATGTATGGTAATCATGTAATAATCTATGACCAGGTGACACGTGTCAGTCAACAGTTGGCTGACTGTTGGCCAATGATCGACCAATGCTTCGCCAACACTTAGCCAACACATCACCAACACTAACATTCACTCACTCACTCATACTTACAAAAGATTTTCAATCTTAGAATATCTGAATCTAAATTTATATTATGTCAAGTTTTTTATGGAATACATGTAGATTAAGATGACAGTTACTGCATTATCGATGATAAATAAAGGTTTTAAGTATACTAAATAATGTTACTCACAATTTTTGTTTTTTGATATTGTCAATTACAGATGTAAAAAAACCATGGGATGTGTTGTGCCCAATGCTGAAACAGTGTGTTAAACAAGAGAAAGAAATCAAAGATTCTGTTGACACAAGTGAGTTAAAAATTATGTTTTTGTTGAACAACAGATATTTTTCAAGCTTTTATTTACACTTATTTCAATAAAATTAGTCAACAAAAACCTAGAAAGCTGGGATCCAACAAGTAAAGCTTTTGACACAAGCTGCAGCAGTTGAGGATGCTCAGAGGAGGTTAACTTGTAACTGGTAGAAGATCTCAAGTCCACCAACAGTTATCAAGCGGTTGAAACATGTAAAATGTATCTACCCATAATCCTTGTCGGTCTCAGCTTTGTAGCTTTTAAGTTGACTAACTTTATTAAAATAAGTGTATAAAAAGCTGAGATATTATAGGCTTTACTGACAGTAAGAATGAAAATAAGTGTGCAAGATACCAAGCAGTTATCATGGTTATAATAAAACTCACCATCAGTAATGAAACTGGGCAAAGACACCTACACTGCCTTGTAGGTACATGTACCACTTGTACAGCAATAAGGGGACTATAGCAAAGTGCATGGTGTATAGAACTCAACTGATAAGATGTGCAATGATTTGTAAACAAAGCTACCCCTCACCCCAACTATATCACTATCTGAGAGATTACTGGCCAACAGGACTCATTTTTACCGAGTCTAAAATTTAATTGAAACTCATGAAAATTATAATAAATTTTTACCTAATTAATATACTGGAAAAACTCTGAATTTACTATTTAACTTTCTTGCAATAGTAATCAACAGAATAGAGCAATTATGTATACAGCAGACAGTGGAAAAGCAGCATACAACACTACAGCAAGTGGAAAAGCAGCATGAGACACTACAGCAAACAGTGGAACAGCAGCATACAGCACTACAGCAAACAGTGGAACAGCAGCAAACAGTGGAACAGCAGCATACAACACTACAGCAAACAGTGGAACAGCAGCAAAAAGTGAAACAGCAGCAAACAACACCACAGCAAA